CAACCTGAACAACCCAAGTGACCTCAGCCACTCCTCATAAGTCTTGCCCCCGATACCCTATTCTGCTTTTTCCTTGCATCTCAGTAACTCTTGCATTTCAAACGATAGTGCCTTGTTAAGGTTTTCCTGGAAGTTTTTGGCATAGCTTTAATTGGAAAAAAATGGCATAATACAAATAATGATCTTGAGCTGAAAGGTCAAAAAACTACTGAAAAAAAAATCAAAACATTTTCTACAAGTCTTATTCTGGTCCAGGAAGGTGAAGACAAAGAATACATTAAAAAAAAAACCAAATCCATGAGTTTTGAACCAGGTGTTACTGAAAACCTTTTTCCTACACAAAGGTCCTTCAGAGCAAACTTCTGAGCCCTGATGAATTCAAGAGAGATACAATAGCCAAACAGACAACAGCAGCTGTGCAAATTTGCTTCACAATTACCATAACAATAATTCTCACAGTGAGCTTTTACTACTCAAAAACATTGCCCATTAATTTTTTTAGTTCATTATGCAAAATACTGATGTCCTTCATGAAGAGCGCTTAAAACACAGCCTGAAGAAAATGGAAGAATTTTAAGTAGCTCTGCAGAACTGCATTAGACAGTAAGAAAGCATTGAGCAAAAACCTTACAGCACCACTGTTCTTCATTTAGCTGTCTGTAATTAAAAATTTTATTTGCGTAAGATTTATTTTCCTAGAGGTCATTGTTTGTGGATCATACACAAGATTATCCATTTGTTCCACCCTGTCCAAATGCATCTTCTCCTATTCACAATCCATTCACAAGTGTGCAGTAATAATTAAATGTTATGGGATACTATCAAAACTGCAAATACCCCCATAATGATGCCATTTTTCAACATGGAATTATATCAGTTTTCAAGATACTGTTATTTTTTGCTTCATAAGCATGTCCACAAAAAATGAATCAATGCCTTGTTAAAATAAATCAAAGAGCCTGCACGGAAAAATGTTCTAAAAGGATGAGTCTTTTAATTTTGATCTATTTTCTGGTTTATTGTACCTTATTTTCTCAGATATGGTAAACAATGATAAGAAAAAATTAAAGCCTAACATATGTACTTACTTGAGCTAAAATGGAAAGCTGATGGTGATAGGTTACTGCATTTTGATTAGCCTCCATGAAGTACCTCTGAGTTCGTCTCCTCTCCCGATCCAGTTTCTTCTCTAACATCAGGTGAGAGGTGGATAAAACATCCAGGTATTTCATCATCACATCAGACAGCAGTGAGCTAACTTCCACTATGTCTGGACGTGCCTCTGCATCCGGAGTCAAGCATCTATGGATGAAAGAACATTCTTTAAAGAAAGCTAATTACTTCTTCCTAAAAAACTGCTTACTACCACTGCATTCCTCCACTGGTATTTAACAAACAATACTGGCTAGCACTCTGCTCAAGCCTGGAGGGGACAGTTCAACACTGCTCAGCCTTGGTGTTGATACACCACAGAGTACAGCATCTGGCATCAGCTGGGACAATTATCCTTATCACCAACCCAGACAGAACTGCTGAGGGGCTGCTGCTGTGCACTCAGGCACACTCAGGTGTGGGTGATGCCTCTTCCCAGGCTGGGGGGAAGAGGACTCCTTTGTAGGGACTGTGCTCTGGTCAAGGCGCTGCACCACTGGACAAAGCAGCTGTGAAGGAGATGAGTGTGTTGTCAGGAAGATTTACAGGAGAATTCATTACTACAAAGTGCTGTAGTCAAGAATGAAGGGCAGAAGGACTGAGCTGGGGTTCTTCTTGATTCTTCCAGGCAGGGGCAAAGGTTCAAGTCAGGGTGGACGCAACTTGCAGTCTAGAGACTGGCTGCTTGGAGTCAGGATCTCCTGGGTAAGGACAAGAGGACCAGAGAAACATTGTGGTGACAGTGTGGGAGATTGTTTGGATGATGTAGAATCATCCAGAGAAGACGAGGTCAATGAATCCTTTGCTGGACAGGCAGAGAAAACTTCATACAGGCACTTATATTCATTGGGGCTTATTAACTACCCTGATATAAAATGGCCGAGTGCAGTAACCAGGACACTTCTGGAATATGTCAATGACAATTTCTTGGTGCAGCAGATTCAGAAGCTAGCTAGCAAAGGCACTCTGCCAGACTTGTTGCTCACAAACAAGGAAGAACCAGGCAGGACAGCCTCAGCTACAGCAGCCATCAAACTGGTTTGAACTGGAATTAAAAATCCTGGGAGAAGTGAGAAAAACAGGTTGTATGGCTATGATGCAGGACTTCAGGAGAGCAGAATTCAGCCTGTTCATGGATCTTCATGGTAGAATGTCACTGAAGACTGCTTTGGAAAGTAAAGGGAAAGCTTGGGAGAGCTGATCTTCCAGGGTATCTCAAAGCACCAGAACAGCCCAATCCTGTGTGTAGGAAACAGGGATGATCTACACAGGAAGAATATGCAGGTATTACCTGAGAGGTGGACCTAAGAAAGCCAAAGCTCAGCTGCAGCTGAAACTAGCAATGAATGTGGAAGGCAGAAGAAAAGCCTTCTGTAATTACACTGACAAGAAAAGAAAGGCTAAGGAAAATGGGGACCCACTATGCAAGCTAATGAAAAAGGACATGGAAAAGACTGGGATACTCAATCCCTTTTTTCCTTCCTTTTCCATTAGGAAACTTTGGCCTTAAGTGTTCCCAGGTCTCTGAGCCTACCTAATCACAGAGTCCATGAGCACGAAGCATTACCACGCGATGGAAAATACAGCGAGAAATCATTTAAGCCAATTGAACATACAGAAGCCCATGGGATCACATGAGATGAGCATGAGGGTGCTGTTGCAACTAGTCAATGCCACTATCTATCATGTCTGAAAGGATCAGAGGAAGGTTCTCATGGAGTGGAAAAAGATTAATATCACATGCATATCCAAGAAGAGCAAGAAGAATTATGCAGGCAGATTCTAGCCAGTCAGCTTCACCTCAGTCCCTGGGAAATAATAGAGCAAATTCCCCTGGAAGTAATTTCCAAGCACACAAACAACAAGAAAGCGACTCAGAAGAGTCAGGATGGATTTCCCAAACAGCAGCCCTACCTGACTAGCCTGATAAATTCTAACTACAAGTATCTGAAAGTATTTAAAATATTAAAATTCATTACAGGACCTCTTAAACATAAATGTTAGTTCTATTAGCGCCTATCCTCTCTATTGTTGACCTTCATCCTCAAGGTCTTTAAATAATAAAAGCCTTTTTGTACAATAAAACACAGTATAAAAACTTCACAGTCTTGTACAGTAAAGTGGTTTTTAGAGATGGAATTCAATATCCGAGTGAGAAAGAAAAAGCATTTTTGTGTTTTTCTAAAATGGAAAAATCAAAGGAACTAAATTTCAGAAGTGCATCAATTCACTCTCTATACTTTGGCTTACACATTATATTATCACCAGGAAGATGTAATCATAGCTAAGAGAAATATGTGATGAGTAGAATAAATACAGGCTCATCTTTTCCTCCATTACCTGCATTACCTCCATTCCTGCATTATCTTGTGCTTTCTTATATCTGCTGTCCTGCTAATAAGATTAAAAAGTACTGGGAAACATATTTCCACCAGTCAAATAAACACACAAAATGATCATTGTGATAATTTATTGCAACAGGCTGTTGTTGGACACAGGATTACTACCTTGACTGTAAAGTGCACTTGAAAATGACTCAAAATACTGTGTTTTTCAGAGATTTATGTGTAGGGAATTAACCACAGCACTGGTATCATGAAACTTCAGTACCCAGTATAAAATCTTTGCTGGCTGGATAAATATGCTGACTATACAGGCAAGAGTTTTCCCCCTGCATGTATGCAACTGTATCACATATTGTATTAGCAGGGTAAAGAGATACTTCAATTTTTCTTTTAAATCAGAAGATATTTAATATTCAGAGACAAATACAGGCAGTTGCTGAAGTCAGAAAACTGACACATTACCACCAGTGGAAACATACAGAACAAAACACCTTTTTGACAGGATGTCGAATTAAAACTAGATAAGTAATTACCTATTTATGATAAATGACACTTTTTCTGAGTACAGTCCTTCTGGTACAGGTTCATACACAGCTCCTACTATCTGCAAGATAAATAATCTACAGTTAGTTGAAGTAAAATATTCCACTGTTCATCTGAAGATCCCATAAGTATTGTTCCTTGAAACAACCTGATGGGCATTACATCGTCAGCTCTAATTTACAAAACAGCTTAGAACACATCTTCTAATGCAGCATGTAACTTCTAATCAGGTATCCACATTAACGTACATAATAACTGTAGAATAAAGGGCTACAATACGTGAATAAGGGAAACATTAAAACAAACACTAATTTTATTTATGATCACATCCTATGGTGTAATGCACAATGCCATAGAAAATCCAATATTATAGCACATCAATAAATTTTATGTATCTAAAGCTCCTATCACCAAATACAATGATAAAAGTATGATAGTCTGAGAGGTAATAATATATTAATATTTCCAAGCAATTTTTGCAATTAGAATTGCAAAATAGCAATTCATACAATGATAAATGCTTGTGCTCATTCACGCATCAGACCAGAGAGCAGTTTATGCATATATAACTTCAAACATAAATTCTCAGGGATCTAGTGAACACATGCAAAAATAACTGGTAGGATGATCTGCCAAATCTGAATACCTTAGTTGCCAAGGAGAGCATATTGGTGCTGTAAAATGGGGGGTTCAGAGTTGCCATCTGATAAAGGATGCATCCTGCAGCCCAGACGTCAGCCTTCTCTCCATACAGCTCACTCTTTACAACTTCAGGGCTAAGTCAAAAGCAGTGCAGCACACAAGTGTTTAACTGATTCACCTAGAAGTAGGCTTATTTAAAAACAAAAAACCAAAACCACCCTACCCAATATTTAGTTGATCACTACAACATATTTTCAGAGTACACACAATTACATTGAAGAGGATGCATTTTTTACTTTACCAAACAAATTCTTTAAGTAGAAGTATCATTAATAGCTTTTCCACTTCTACCACAGTTGTTCCCACAAATACTAGTGGTTTATATTTTGTTTACTTGTCTTTTCCATTCATTTCATGTTCGAATGCCTTTGGACTTAATGGAATCAAATAAACTGCAGCATTCAGAACTTGCTTACAATGATGTAGTCCAATAAAATGGATTAGATCCTCATGCAATTCAGGTTTGGACAGATTCCTATAAATAGGAATATTTATATATATATATATAAATATATATATATATATAAATATAGAAAAAAATTGAATAAGATTCCTATAAATATAAAATGTTAATCAATATCATTTTGCTAATAATGTGAGTAAACAAATTTTACTCATTATATCATTTGCATCCTCTTAAAACTACTGTAATACATTCCCTGTGAGGATGCCATGTTGTTGGTGACCCCGGGAGTCGCGGGAGACAAGCCTCATGCTATCATGGTCAGCAAGTCTCGTTTATTTAGCGTGATACACTCATTTTTATAGCCCGCGGTGTTAGGTACATTGTCTGCCAGGATACAGCAAAATCATTGGTTAATCGGTATTGACGCAGGGGTCTCTAGGTAACTATAACCACTTCTTGTTTCAACTTATTTTGACATATCCCAGCTTGCTCAAGCATTACCGTTGCGCTTATCTCAGCAAGATGTACATCCTGTTTCTTGAGCAACTCAGAATAAGCATCAACCACAAGATAATTGCGGCCTTGAGGCGCAGCCCTGAGGCCTATCTTTCCACCAGCTGCACAGTATCATGACCTCTGTTACTTAGCCATTCCGCTGTTAAGCTCTCTACACTTCCCCCGTTTTCGTTAGTAGCAAGCATAGCCATGTTATGATTAAAAGCATTCGATATCATTTTTTGCAAACACTGCATAATACATGGTAAAAGCAAAATCGCAAGCAAAATTATGGCCAACACCACAACAATTTTTTCTATCAAACTGATTAACCAGGGAGATAATCCAAGGGATGCTAACCAGTTTGTGAAAGGATCATTTGTCTCTTGTAATTTTCGCATATTGTCTTTTAACAGTGCCAATTGTTTATGAATGGAATTAGAGTGATCAGAAAGATTCATACAACACATTCCATCAAACTCTTCACATCCATGTCCCTGTTCCAACAACAAAAGGTTCTGCAGTGTTGCATGTCTTACAGAGTCAACATTAAAACAAATCAGGAATTGCCTTCGATGTCACCTGCTTTATAACACTACCATTGTATTAAAATTTTTCTAGCTTTTGCCTTAGCATTTTCTAGCGGCTACTGCAAATTTCCATATTCTGACATCTCTTTTACAAGTGACAAATCTATACAATACAAGGTGCAGTTTCTTATTAGCAACTAGCTAGTAAATACAGGTGGTTTTATACACAAAATCACAACCTCTAATAATAGCTACTTTACAAGCACACATATTCAGGATGTTACTTTTCAGTTGCCCCCAAATGATGTTTTGCAGTTATTTGTTCTTTCTCTTCCTCTGTAGCTGAGGCATCAGGTTTATCCATTCGTCTGTCCAGCTCATGGCAGGGCTTCACAAACTTTGCAGACAGTCACTCATGGACCTGTAGGCAGGAGGACACAAATATACCCCCTCCCCCAGGTTATCAGTTCTTCAGAAGTAGACATGTTAAAGTTAAATATAACATCATTACTCTCTCTCTCTTTTTTTTTTTTTTTTTTTTTTAGTCCCTGCAAAAGCCGGCCTGCTCGGCAGCAGCTATAGCGGCCTGCCTGCTTCAGCAGCAATCATAAATACCTGCCGGCAGCCGCACTTTTACATTAACTCTTTCATGCCTGAAATGTTAAACAGCTACCCCTTAAAAACTTTTACAATAAACCCAACAATACACAAAACACTGATTGCCCTCTACACACACACACACACACATGCACGTGTGGGATCCCACAAGCACACTCCACACAAGTTCAATATTTGAAACACAAAAAGACAATTATTACTCGCACTACACAGTCCCACGTACAGAACAAGGACCCTGTGGAGACTAACAGCAAACCAGCTCCGAGAAGCATCATTGCAGTGCGAGGTGGCAGGCTCAACCTTAGCGGGCGTCCCCGCAGAGGCTCTGCCTCCCCCACATCGTATGAGGCTTGGGCTTTTATACTGAGAAAAATGCACACTCATTCCGACACAGGTGGCCAGCCTGTGCTGGAAGAAGTGGCCAGTAATATCTATAAAGGTCTCCAAGGGTTGATAGAAACCTGGACATACTTATATTTACCAACTTCTAGTACATGAGTATCACAGAGAAACTGTATGAGCTCTCCCTGTCAATTGCAAGAAAAAATCATAACATATAGAGCTTCCCACTCTTTAGCCCCCTGCTGTGTAGTAAACATAGGATATGCAAAGATGCCCATTGCAGAAAATTCCCCAGTAATGATCACATATTTGGTTACCCATTGTTACAACTGAGCGTCTCCAGGGCCAGTAAGTCTGAGCAGACCCACCCGGGAGACGAAGAGTCAGGGTCTGGAAGCAGAGGATATAAATCTGGCTCGGATTCAGGGGATTCGGGGGCTGATCCTGCGCCGAACTCGGGGTCTCCGTTGCTCGCAGCTGTGTCTTTCTTATCAGGTGTATCTCGTTCGGTATGTAGCCGTCTGCAGACCTGGCTCCTCCGTGACTGAGTTAAAAACTTTTTCACTCTAGGGCACAGTGGGCTGGAGAGGCTCGCGGTTCCTTTAAATCTCCCGCTCGCGCATGATCCCTATTTTCTACTGCGTGCTTCACAGTGGCGCCGCAATCGATCCGGCGCCGAGGCACCGCCCTCTTTCTTTCGGATTCCTCGACATTTATCATGCGTATCCCTTCTAATACACTTTCTCTGTCCTTTTCATGGCCAGCCTGGGCATCTGTTCGAGTATAATCACCATTTCCTAGTAATTCATTCATTGTTACTCCAAAAAGGGGGTCTCCTTGAGTACGGGGTAAAGCTACTGAAGCAGCAGCTTCTTCCCCCCATCGGGCATCAAATGTTTTTGGTGAGGGGTATAGATTAAACGAGCGATACCCTTAATGTCTACAGGCAAGAGAATCATCGAATTAAATAAGTAATCAAGCATCTGTTTGGCCGGTTCACTGGTGACACCGAATTGAGCGACTGTGGCACGAAGTTGAGCCAATAATTTCCAATCAATTTGAGTAATCTCCGCCCTATAACCGCCGCCAGGCCGAGGGTGAAAAATAACAGGAAAAGCCATGGAAGCAGTAACATGGTCTTGTGCCGCATCGGCAAGGACCCTATCTCCGTTTTCGACTCCGTGGCGTGCCAAAGCAGCCCAAGCTTCCCGTCTCTGACTTGCCATAGCCTCCGCGAGGTCCGAAAGGGCTCCGGGGAACGGCTCCGTGGCATTGAGAGACAAGGGAAGGGAGTTTTGAGGAGACTCAGGCGGTCCGTTTTCAGGAACGGGGGCAGACGGGGGAGACGGGGGAGAGGGGGGTGGGGGGGGAAGAGGAGGAGGCGGAGGAGGAGGGGGGGGTATCTCGATTGACGAGACGGTCGGCGGATTAGGGGCAGAGGGATCATAGTGACGATTTAGATCTTGTGCCAAACGGGCACTTTCGGCCGCACGTTTCTCCGCCTGTACCATTAAGAGTTCGTTATGTATCAAACGCCATAATTTGGATAACTTTTTAGCAGTTTTATCATCATCTAATGTAAGATCCCATAATTTATCACCGTAGCGACGCCATTCCGATAACTGGTGGACTGAATGGGGATCATCGAAAATACCGAGAGACCGAGCGTGGGAAAGAAGGGAAGGGAGGTCCTTATCTAAATCTAAGCCTTTTAACCCCCGACGACGGAGGAAGGCAGTAAAAAGATCATACGCCGCTTGCCTGTCCATATTTACCGGTTCCGTTGCACCCTCCAGGCGTCGGCAGCGCGTAGCAGCAGAGCCAGCCGATGCTGCACTCCGGGCCAAAGCAGGAAGCAAGCAGCACACCGATGTGTCACTGCTGTCCCACAGAAGCCGTCTTTAAGTCGAGACCTGCACCCAACGCAACTCCTTTGGGTCCTTGTTCCGGTTGGTCCCAAGTCCCTGTTCGGGCGCCATTTGTTGGTGACCCCGGGAGTCGCGGGAGACAAGCCTCATGCTATCATGGTCAGCAAGTCTCGTTTATTTAGCGTGATACACTCATTTTTATAGCCCGCGGTGTTAGGTACATTGTCTGCCAGGATACAGCAAAATCATTGGTTAATCGGTATTGACGCAGGGGTCTCTAGGTAACTATAACCACTTCTTGTTTCAACTTATTTTGACATATCCCAGCTTGCTCAAGCATTACCGTTGCGCTTATCTCAGCAAGATGTACATCCTGTTTCTTGAGCAACTCAGAATAAGCATCAACCACAAGATAATTGCGGCCTTGAGGCGCAGCCCTGAGGCCTATCTTTCCACCAGCTGCACAGTATCATGACCTCTGTTACTTAGCCATTCCGCTGTTAAGCTCTCTACACCATGTGGACTCTCAACAGCCAGCTGAATGATGATAAAAAAATCCATTGTAAAGATCCATTTAAAATAAATGGAAGGTAGCAGTAATTTCAGCTGTGACTCAGTACAAAGCAGACTCCACTGCACTGACAGGGTTGTAGTTTTAGTATGGTTTCGCACAAAAGCATAATAGCTGCAAATTTATTAAGTCATTTGGTCTGCTTATCATGCTGAAAGACTTCTTGTTCTAAATGCCTATCTAATACTTTAAAAAAAATCAAAAGGACTTGCAGCAGAGCACTACTTGGTCTTGTGTTTAGTCAGAAGTCTCTGACATTTAGAGCATTAGGATGACCCATACCTTAAATGAAGACTGTCTCATGTTTAAGAAGTACTTTAAATTACTGAAGTAATATTTGTCTAAGGTGACCATGAAAGTTTTATAGAGATATGCTTTCATGGATAGTTAATTCTGTAATTTAAATTTTTTAAATGGAATTAATAAATAGAATTTAAATAGAATTAAGTGGAATTTTCAAATATTATTTATTTACTTTCAAGAGATGTAGTGAAATCCCTCACCATGTTCTACAGGCTTGCCTCACCATATGCTAGATAGAAGTGTGGGAGGCGTAGAGTACTTGTTGACTAGTAAAACAGTTCTGCAGTTGAGCTGCATCTTTTGGATCCACACTGTTGAGGAATGCCAAGCAGAGAAAGTACC